TTGTGAAAAGCGTGACACTGGGTGCGTGTGGAGTGGAGACGCGGCTGGCGCTGCAGCTGGACGCCTCGTGGGCCCTGCCGTCGCCCATGCCCCACGCCCAGCGGGTCCGGCTGCGGCTCACTGATCTGCCGCCTTGAAATTCGAAATAATTTGTTTGAGCAAGAATGCCCCGTGCTCACTTCTCCCTGGGCCCTGGGCCGCGTGCCACACTGGGCAGAGGGACGGTCACCTGGCCACGACAGACAGAGGCCGCCATAGCGGGGCGGAAAAGCACGCAACCACCGAGCGGGCTGTATCAGACGGCTGTCACGGCGGATCACAGAGACGGCCACGCATCCCGCCCCGTCCTCACACCGTCCGAGACGGCCGCACTGTGACACGGCAGGCCCTCCCGCCTGCACCCCGAGACACGGCGGGCCCTCCCGTCTGCACCCCGAGTTGGCACCAGACCCAGCCGAGGGGCTGGCATTGCCGGCACACCGGGGCTGGGGTTGCCGGCTGCTGTCCGGAGCCTGCAGCACTCCGCGTGGAGCAGCCGCTCACCACCGAGTGATGAGACATGGCCGATGCCCCCACCAGCCCTGCCAACAGCCAGGCCCCTCCAGGAGCAGGACCCTAACTGACCAGGCCCCCCGAGACCAGCCCAGAAGGGAGAACGCTCAGCAGAACTCGGGGCTGACCGGGGCTGGGGTTGCCGGCTGCTGTCCGGAGCCTGCAGCACTCCGCGTGGAGCAGCCGCTCATCGCCGAGTGATGAGACATGGCCGATGCCCCCACCAGCCCTGCCAACAGCCAGGCCCCTCCAGGAGCAGGACCCTAACTGACCAGGCCCCCCGAGACCAGCCCGGAAGGGAGAACGCTCAGCACAACTCGGGGCTGCTGGCGTGTGTCGGGGCTTCTCACCCAGCTCCAGTAAACGAGGCCGGCCCCTCCCCCTTCCCGCTCCCCCACACAGCCTGTCTGGCTGTGCACCCGACCCCCCCAGAGCCCCTTCAGAAGCCATGTGACCCCAGAACCCCGGACTTGGAAGCGCCTGGTTGTCACGGGACTTCTGAAGTGACCCAGGGACGGAGCTGGTCTCACCTGCCCACACCGCCCCACGCACCTGACCCTGACCCCTGACCCCTGTGGAGCCGGGCCCCACGTCCTGTCGCTGACCTGCTCCCACGTACCCCCGTCTCCTCCAGGCCAGCTCGCCGCCTGGCGCTCAAGGACCCGGGCAGAGGGAACGGCCGCCTCCGGCCACTGTGCTGCCTCTCAGGACCCCTCACGGCCGCCTCCTTGTCGTAAAACCTCAGCATGGGCCCCTCAGGGGGCTCGGTGAATGGTCACCAGTCCCTCCGGTTTTGCAGACCGAAAACTGAAGCCCACGGGTTCTAGCAAACGGGTCCGAGCCACCGCCGTCCTGCCCTGGACATTAGCGTTAGCCACGCGCCTCAGGGCGCCCCGCCGCCCCGGGTCTGCCGAGGGGTGAGGGACGGGCCCGGCAGGG